GTGGTTCAGTAAATCTGTGGCATTTAGCTTTTGTACCTTTTAAGCTTCCAACTAAAGACAAAGCGCAGTGGACAAAATAAACTTGTTCTTTGCAGACCAGCTACAGACTTGGAGCTAGCAAGCCTGGCATGATCAACTTGTCAGTTTACAGATCGGAAAAGGTTTATCAGTGTGGTCTAAGTGAACTCTGCACTGGCTAGGCAGGCCTGGGTGATGAAGACACAAAGGGTAGGTCCAATAGAGACCAGCTAGCGCCAACATACCTCGTGTCACCAGGGCATCTGTGGCCAGGCAGAAGAATGCTGATGCCTGTTAGTGCCCACCATAGTGCTCCTTTTATGCAAAAGACCAGTAAATATGGACTGAGATTACTGACCTGAGTTGGACTTACTGACACTGATACAAAGAAGTGAGTGGCATCAGCCAACCATTTTCAGCTCTCTGGTGCTTCCAAGCAGGTCAAGCAAATGAACTCAGAAAAGGGTGCAGTGGGGGCTGTACTTCAGATGAGAACAAAACATAGTAGTTTGCACTTACAACAGCAGGACTTAACTCCTACTGTGAAAGCAATGTCCAGCAGAAGGGGCCATGAGGAGCTTTGCATCATTGATACCAATGCTGGAAAACCGCTTGACATGAGCTGGCCAACATGGGGAGCAGTGTAATGCCATGCCGCCACCTCTAATTACTTATGTTTATCCATAACATTATTTCACAGAATGAGCACCTTGAAGCAGCCTAAAACCAAACATGGCCTTATTCACTGGAAGCTGAATCCCTTGTAAGGACTGAGGCACTGGGCAGGGTGTGTTCAATGCCTTGGAGGACAGAAATCTGTAAGAGGTCAATTATTATGGTATTTTGGCAGAAGGAATTTGAAGAAAATTACACTTAAATCTATGACTCATCTTCTCCTGGATTCTAGGAACTTCTCCTCAGATTAAAAAGTAGTGTAAAAGAATTAAAGTGTGTTGGAATCACTAAAAGCAGGGGAAAATGGACTAAGTGGAGCCCTTGCTGAAGTGGGATCAGGTTTGGCTGCTGTAATCCAGGCAGCGATTAGCTCTAAGTGTATGCATGGCAAAGTTCAGCTACTGGCACCTGGCAAAGGTAAAACTGCAGAAACTGCAGCTGCTCTGGTTAAATGTGCTCAGAGAACTTCACGGAGTAGTCTGGATGGTACCAGTTTATAACACCACAATCTATATTGATAAGAAATGCTACTGAGAATTTGGTTGACGCTGTGCTCTTTTAAACTTCAGATAATATTTAGGCTACATCTTGAATCTGTTGCTCTGAGTTTTATGAATGATAAAAGAGATGGAGCATCTAAGTAGGAGTTGTAGGACTTGGCTTCTGATTATTCAGGTGACCCCATCTAATATGTATCTATTAAGCACAACCATCCTCTGAAGGCAAACACACTCCGATGAGGAGACCACGAGACAAGGGTGTATGAAAGGCAAGATAATATTGAGTTAAAAATGGGAATTCACCACTCTCCCTGATTCTACCTTAAAAATGGACCCATCAAAATTTCCCAGTGAAACTTCTTACACTTGGAAAAAAAACCCAATACTTCTTAGTGAGACATTATCTATTTGACTGAAATTCCAATTGGAAAATACATTAGAAGTATTTAAATATTTATAAAAGATTGTGAGAGTTTAAAACTTTTTAATCCTTATTCAGTGCTAAACTAAATTTTAAATTTCACCTGGGGAATAGCAGCATCATGTTTCAGTTTGTTCGAGTCAAACCAGTGCTAAACAGGTAAAATACGAACTTGCAAGTTCCTCCCCCCATCAAGGTGTTGGGTCGCTCAGTAGAGACATATTCCTGATCACTTTTTTTTTTTTTCTTTTTTTTTCCTCAAAACCAAAAGCTGTAATTAAAAAAAAACCACCCCACAATACTAAGGCAAGCCTATAAAGTGGACTACTGTAGAGTAGGGAGAAAATGACCTTCCAAAGTTGAAGGAGAAGCTGAAATAGCCAATAATTGAAATGTCACAGGAGGGACTGAGCTGTAAGAAAAAGCAAATATTTAAAGATGAGAAATATTTAACAAGTCACTGTATTAATTTCTCTGTCAGGTTCATCAGAAGCAAATATATTTCTATTTGATGTCAGGGACATCACATAAAATCTGACTAACCTCACGGGCATAAAACAACCTTGGAAGCCTCTTCAGCCCAGATTAGTTTTAATGCAAAGTCCCATATATTTTTCAGTGAGGCAGATCCACCTTGGTGTTGAAGACACACAATTTCATTTTATGAAAGTAAGTTATAATTGCTGTACAAATAACGGCTCATTCTTCCACCTTTTACTACCTGCTCTGAAGGAGCTGCTGTTCTGGCAGAATCCAGCTCTTTTATTACAAGGTAAGTACAAGATACTCCTGTCACTTGGCATACACAAGATGTATGTCCCTTCAGGGAGCTGTTCAGAGTTTTGCTCTTCTCCTTCACTGGTTTCTCACCACCTCTCCTCCATGGAAATATCATCGTGATTAAGCCAAGAATCACAAATTAAAACTAGATTGAGATTTCAAGGTGATTCCTTCTCTGTTTTCTTCCTCTCCAGCCTAGTGGCACAGGTTTAACAAAGGTGTATACTCTCATGTTTGCAGTCTACTGATTCAAAACATCCCTCAAATCATGAACAGCCTCGTATTCAAAAGGTTGGGTCTTAGAAGGACATAATTTCATTGATAAAAAAGTCTGGGAATAGGTCTCCAGACCGTCTGTCTATGCAATGCTCTGAAATGCTTAAGAACTCCTGTTCCTCCCCATTTTCACTAATGACACAGTGGGAATGAAGCTGGTTGGTGGCACGTGGCCGGTGCCCTGGTGAAGATGGATGGTCGGCTCCTGTGCAGTGCTCGCTACCTCCCTCCCCATTCTCCTGAAGCAGCCGGGATTTCGGGGAGCTGAGTCAGTGAAACGAGGGCCCCACTCCTCAGCACGGACCCATGACTGCGCAGACACTCCCGCAGTGCTCCTGCCCGCCGGTGCCTGCACTGCCTCTGCGCGCTAGGCAAGGGAAAGCCTCAACGGCTGTTATCGTTACTCATATCTGAAAGGTTCACCTTCACTGCTGCTTTTATTGGGCTAGCTTGTGGAATTAATATCTACATTAAATACTGCAAAACCTTAGCCCTAAATTTCAGTTCAGTCTGAATTTTATCTTTGTGTGCGCTACTCTTAAAAAGAAACGTAATGATCCCGTTATTTAACCTGGCAGAGTACACACGCTCCTAATAATATTAATGACAATGTCTGTTCCATTATGTTAACTGAAAAAGATGATTTGCATATGTTTACAGTAGCCCATAATTTAATTTACACACAACTGAACTGGTTAAATTTACAATGTAAATAGTAGATCATCTGTATGTACATCCTGTATTCAGACAGTTCCTAAATTATTGTTATATTGATATAAATCTCAGCCTAGGCTTGTTCATTGAGCACTCAACACATGGCATTTTAGTGACTGAAAGGGAAAAAAATTAAACAATTTGCATACTTCTGTACTGGAGCAAATGACTGCACTGACAAGGTCACCATGCTAAATTGACATCATCCACACCACATCCAACTTCTAAAAATTCTCCAATATTTGCATGGTGATGCCTGTAAAAACCTCATTAAGTGTCAGACTCTTAAGGTTTTTTTATCTCTTGCCTGTTTAATAAGCAATTTATTTTTTTAATTAAGAATTCAGTATGCTTTTAATTTACACAGGGAAAAAAAAAGCCTGAGTGCTCTGTTTTGCTTGTGGTAACATGGCTAGCTGTATAAAACACCATTTCTTCCTCTACTACATATATAATTGTATTTCCAAAAGTAACTCTCATTGAATCAGATAACTAGCAATTTCTTTTGTAATCAGAACCTAATTAGGTTGTTGTTTACAGTGTAAGTGATCAATAGCTTTTATTCTGGATCACACAGTGTCAAAGCTCTAATAATTGGTATTAAATGTAACAGAGATACTGCAGTCAAACCAAATGTAAAAAATCTTCAGAAAGTACGTACTATACTGGGAGGTTATTAAAATTCCCGATACTGCTTAAAATGTTTAATGTGCTGAATAGAAATGATATTTTAAAGAAAGCTTTGTGGATCAAAGATGGATTTAATAATTGTAATGTTTATGAATTTGTTTTGAAAATATTTTTAATTGGATAATGTCAGACTTCTGAATTATAATGCTATGTTCATTAGCATTTCAATAGGTTATACTATCAACTCCTTTTGACATAAAAGAATTTGATTTGTTTTTAAAATTATGAATCTCATAATCTTTTTTCTGTTGTCACTAGTTTTCAATAATTTGATTAGCTTCTACAAGAAGAGCAACAGGAACCACATGGGCTTTGCTGGTAATGATGTGCTATATATTTCTTCTCCGAAAGCAGCTCTGCTGCCTTTGAAAGTAATTTGCAGTTTCTTATCAGCACAGAATTAAAGAGTAATATTGTCTAATTTGTTATGTTCAGTGGCACGGAGTATCACAGAATTCTACCACATACACAGTGCTTTGAAACCTGTATTATGTGACCATAATCAAGAGTACATAAATGAATTTCAGAATTTATGAAAGTGTTTATTATTAGCTAAGAAAAAGCTCAAAAGATGAACTTGTCAACGGGTTTAATAATCTCTTGGCATGATGTGTATTTTGCACACTCCCAATCTTCATTGAAGTTTATAAAACAGTAATTTATACTTTATAGTTGTGTTGCAAATAACTGATCTGGACATTTCAGAGCAGGAAGGGGCATAATTGTGTAAGTCACAATGTAAATCTGTAAATTCAACATGATGAACTCCTTGCGTGGTGAAGTTATCTTCTACTTTCAATAAAAACAAAAACTGATTACTCTTGATCATTTAGACATAACTGCTTGTAACAGTCAACAAGCCATCACAGTAAGGTACAAAGACAGCCCTTAGGAGAAATGCTGTCTATTTGATGACATTTAAAGCTTTAAAGAATTCCTTCTAGATACCGCAGAAAATCATCATGAGCCAGCACAGGCTGTCGATGTCCCTGAATGAAAAGCAAAGTGATCAAATCACGTATACTGGCAATATTGCCATCCAAACCATTAAAACAATTTAGGGAACTGGTCTTGCAAACAGTTCATCATGTCAGCAATGCCAAGCTCTGCAGTAGGAACTACCAGGGTGAGAAAAGCCTGTCACATGGGTGCATGACGCCACCTTGTAATTGAAGCAACCATCTTTTTTTTTGTTGATTTTAGCAGTCTAAGAAATAAAACGCAGTTTAATTTATATCCAACTACCTCTTTTCCCTCTACAATGTTGTGATGAGAAGACATGAAGTTCCTGTAACTTTCTGAGCTGATATTATCAGCTCTGTATAAACAGATAATGCTGTTTTAGTAGAGCACGAAGATTGTATGTAATTTTTTTATTAAACAAACAGTATAATAACTGCACTATATTATCACAATGGAAGCACAGAAGACCATAGACTGTACAGCTGAAACCTGTAGGAAAATTTGTTTCTACTGCTCATCCTCAAATTTAATGAAATGTATCTTTATCAAGCTTTCAAAATGGCTGCTTCTTCTTAACTTAAAGAATCCTCACCCTTGTTAAGGCTAGATGATTATAATTAAAAGATAACTGTACTGTTAGAAAGTTCTATGCCACACGCTATTTTGATGAGAATTTAACTGAAAGACGTACATAATACCTGCATGTGTATTATAATGGCTTCTCAGCAAGGAATGCAGAATCACAGTACATAAACATTTAAAGAGGAAAATGCTAATACACTGAAAGAGTTTAACATCAGTAGCAATTTATCAAATTAAGAAGCTTCATAAAGTCCACTCTCTGGGAGAACACTCACCATTAGACAAAAACCTGGCATCCTTGATAGTCTGAAGTTTAATCAGTTTGAAAACCAAAACCATTCAATGAGATAAATAGGATCTTAAGAAAACTGCCATCCTCCTTCTCAGGTAAAAGCCAGAATTAAAATAATAATTATTAAAATAATCCAACCAGGTCGCTTTACAGGCAAATTTACACACTGTCTCTTTAAAACACCGCATGCCCAAAAGCCTTTTGGGTTTGGAATGTAGCACTGCACCAAGTATTTCACAAAGCCTCTAAATATCACAAGAAGCTTTTTTTAGAGAGAAAAAAAAAAAAAAAAATCCAGCTGACTGAAACTGTTCTAGCAGGAGTGCCTCAGCTTAGCTCCCAGACTTGGAATTCCAGATAAACAACAGAGGACAGGAAACAGATTTTTTTTTTTTTTTTTTTTTTT